TGGGGCAGCCACAGCTTCTCTGGGCACCCTGTGCCAGCGCCTCAGCACCCTCACAGGGAAGAGCTTCTGCCTTGTATCCAACCTGAACTTCCCCTGTTTCAGTTTGAACCCATCACCCCTTGTCCTATCGCTACAGCCCCTGATGAAGGTCCCTCTCCAGCATCCTTGTAGCCCCTTTCAGATCCTGGAGGTCTCCCCACAGCTTCTCTTCACAGCCCCACTTGTTCTCAGCCTGTCAATAAAAAGGGTCGGTGCCTGGTTTTGTTTTACAAGAAACCTCAGGGAGCAGGAGCAGATCTCTCCCCTTCTCCAAGGAAGAAAGCGAAGCTCCCGATGGCCTGGTTCAGGGTAGGAAGCAGCAGGACCTGCTCGTGGAGCCGAGAAGCTCCTCTTGGCTTGCCAAGAAGCTGCTGTTTATACGGTGGGAGCTGCATGAGACAAGCTCCTTACTTGGCTGCGACCACGAAGGCTACCTACCACCCTGCTTACACTCTGCTGCCTCGTAAAGGCCTTGGATGGGGTCCCACATTCTGCATTGCAGCCTCTCTGCAGACGCTAGAAAGCCCATTCTCCTGCACCCTGCCTGGGATGCAGACAAACAAATGCATTCCACAGGGAATGCTGGCCTACGGGCAAGTCAAGCGCCGCAGCCACAGCCGTGGCAGGGGACAGGGAGCCCCAGCATCCGCCCTCTGGTACCCAGACCCACATCAGGCTCCAGCCCCGCAGCGGCTGCGCTCATCCAGAGGTGGAAATCCCAGGTTTGCTGACTCCCTGGGAATGCAGGGAGAGGAAGGCAGTGCCATCATTCTGACAGGCTCCAGGAGTGCAACAGACCCACTGAGAACACAGCAGGGAGCAGCAAATGATCCCTCCAGGACATGGTGGCTAGGATCAGCACCAGTATCCTGTTCCACACACACGTTCTCACCCAGCCTGGCAGCCTCAGCCTTGTCCTGGGGGTGGCTCTGGCCCTGGCTCATCTGACCACCCCGACCTGTGCACCCTGAAGCATCCCCCACCAGCACCGCAGGCCCCCAGGCAGCAAACCCATGGCCACATCCAGGGGTGTGATGTGACTTGTGGGACACGTGTCCCCATGGATGTGGTTCCAGCACAGTTGGCTGAAAACTACCATTCTTTTCAGAACTATTGAAACTCCACCCCCCCAAGAACCATGCTTTGGATCAGACATTTTCATAGCATTATCATGGAATGGTTTGGGTTGAAGGGACCTCAAAGCTCCTCCAGCTCCAACCCCTGCCCCGGGCAGGGACACCTTCCACTAGAGCAGGTTGCTCCAAGCCCCTGTGTCCAACCTGCCCTTGAACACTGCCAGGGATGGGGCAGCCACAGCTTCTCTGGGCACCCTGTGCCAGCGCCTCAGCACCCTCCCAGGGAAGAGCTTCTGCCTAACGTCTCATCTAAAAGGCTTGATCTCCCCACTCCCAACTCCAGCATCATCCTGAAAACCCGCTATTTTACATGGAAAATCCCATTTACATCCCTGTTGCAACAGCACGAGGTGCAGCAGAGGACTGAGCTCCCAGCAAGCATCATGCTTGAGAAACACCCCGTGCCCCCTGCAAACAGCCAAACCCTCGCTCCAGGGCTAAAGAGTTCTCTCAAGAATTTCCAAGTCAATCCACTCATCATTTTCTAATCCTTAATTCATTAAAGATGGATCCTTTAAGGAAAGGAGCATTTGTGTGGGTCCCTTCTGGGCTCGGAGCAATCTGAAGAATGAGAAAAATGTTGATGCTCTGCGGGCTCGGCACAGTTCACAGTAACTAAAACCCTGCTCCTCGGCTGCACGTGAAGAACATCCCATAAACAGCTTAAAACACCTTTAGAGGAAACAGCCGGGACGGGCCCAAGGGGCTGCTCCTGCTCCCACCTGAGACCTGGGTGCACTGGAGGGAGCCAAGCGGGGCACGACGCACCCGTGATGCACCAGAGCTGCCAACATGGGCAAAAGCCTTTTGGTGCCCCTCTCCAAGCACCCACCGAGGCACCAGAGCTGGAGTCTCCTGCTCGGGATCTATCGGTTGGATTTAGCAGGCAGCAATTACACCCCCTCAGCAGCCGTTTGCTTTGATCTGGGGGCAGGAAGCTTCCCTGGAAAACATTTAAGGAAGGGAGAAGGCAGGAGCGTGCCTCTGCCCTAGGGAAAGGTGCAAACCCCAGCCCGAAATACAGCCGAAGAGAGAAACCTGCAACGTGGCTTTAACCATCACTGGGACCTCACACCTCAAAACGCCT